ATGGCTGCCAGCACCTTCCTCTCCGACAACCAGGAGCATGTCCCCGTTGTAAGACCACTGCTGCATTATCATGGAAATAGTCCAAGAGCAGGCACAGCTGTACCAACAAGGCTCCCCTTTGTTTCCATACAAAGCCACTTCCCCCACCTCCCAGCAAAAGAAGCAATACTGGTCCAAGTGGTTTTGCCAGTGTAAGTGTTCAAGCAGTGCCAGCAGAACCCCTAGCACAGACAGGGGCTCCGTGCCCACATTCAAGGTTTTCCAGTCTCATTACTCAATGGCAAAGCACCCTGCCCTATACTGCAGGTTCACCCCAAGGGATCCACCAAGGGCCTCTTTTGTGATCTGGCTGTAGAAGTGTTGGAAACAGCTGCCTTCTCAAAACAGAGGGAACAGGCCTCCGGCTTTCTGCAGCCTGTGCTAGCGCACGCTATGAAAAGCAGGCTCCGAGGGCGCTCAGAGGCATGTGGGGAGGGATAGAGTTGCATGCGCACACCCGGCTTTTCGTTTTGCTCCCACGGCTCAGATTCCAGCTCAAATATGCTGTGAAGAGGTGCAGAGGAGGGAGTATTAATTATTGCCCAGTGCTTGAAGGGAAGAGACCAAGCAGGGAAAAAAGGTGCAGCCTAGCACACGTATCCTATTTCTGCAGTACCTTGCAATGCAGACCCTCCAAAGCATGCATCGGGTCTGTTGCGCTTGTCCACTACTGCATCTCTTTTGTAACGCAGTCATGTCTAGAAGCCCCCAGCCAAGGTATAGCGCCTGGCACAGTCTGGCCTTTACAGATGGAGGGACGAGACCAGCCCTGACCCCAGCAGCTGAAGGTTTGCTTACATGTTGAACCAAACCAATAAGGCTAAACTCTAACCTTCAAAAGCAAGGCCACTTCCATCTTCACATGCCTGCTGGTTAGCAGCGGCCAAAGGCCTCAATCTTCAGAACATTTTTCCAAGGAATCTCTTTTTTTTTTTTTTCCTAGCAGCACCAAGCATGCAACAAGTCTGCGACAGCCCAGATCTTTGACTCTTGCAACAGCAAGAGGCAAGCATGAAGCCAAAGCAGCCAACACACAGACAGAGCAGGGCAACTCAGAAGCTGCAACCCTCCAGCAAGGGGCTCGGAGCTGGGAGATGCTTGCAAACGTGCCGCCCAGCACCCAAGCAGAAGCATCCCCTCCCTGAAAGGTGTTGCTCCGTTCCTGACGGACACAGTAATGCCACCTGAAGGGAGCTGTGCCTTGCAGACTGACCACATGGACCCGTGCTAGCTGTACCCAATGACCCCCCTCCATTGTCCACCCAGGCTCTGCTGCTTTAAGAGCAGGCAGGGCCACACATCAGCCGGAAGAACCGGAGACTTGCAGGGATACCACATGAGCCAAAGTTTATGAAGCACATGCAGGAAGCCATGAACTCCCATGCAGACCAGGAGTCTCATCTGGGCAAAGGTTCAGGAGGCTTGTGGTTAAGAGAAAAAGTTGGTTCCTCTGTACCCCTTGAGCTGAACTTCGTTCCAGCTCTGGAGGCTGCAATTGTGTCCTGGTCCCAGAGTCTCTGGTTTGGTTGGCAGGACTGCTCCCCTCCCCAGACCCTACCACCCTGGACTGGTTTCCCTGCAGAGCTCTGTCGGTGCACCTCAAGGGCTCAGCCAAGCCACTAGTAACAGGAAGAGAAAGCTTGTTGGGGTTAAGCCTGGTAACTGGACTAAAGTGGAGACAGCTTTGAAGAAGCAAAGCTTGCAGGGCCCAGGAAGCAGTACCACCCTAGGAGAAGCTTTCAGCAGCCATTCTCCTTGGTGTATAGAGAAATGTGGTTTCGTGGTCTTTGATAGAGTTCCAGCCCCTTCATGATGCCCATTAAGTCGATTTGCTGGTTCACTCCCTAAAATGGAGGCTAAGTTAACCTCTTGAGCCCCAGAGTCCCACCCCAGTCCCCTGCACTGCCCCTGGGTAAGACTAGCTTGAGCACTAGACTAGTGCCCTCACTATACTGCTCTGCAATCAGGAGCCCTCCGGCAGAGAGCCTGCTTGCACCAATGGCTCATGCAGGCAGTTCTCATTGCTTCCTCCCCATCCCAAAACCCAATCTCGAGCTCCCCAATTCTGGCACGTGGATTTGAAAATGCACATATTACTCCCCCAAAAAGAGAGACCACAGCGGAAAAAGTTAGTTTTGAACATCAAAGTGAGAGATCGCACCCCACCAGGTACCTCACTCTAGCGTCCCAGCAAGTTCAACAGGAAACTGGAGTCAGGTCTAAGAGCCCCACGCTGGAAGACGAGCAGGCCAGGGGAACATCTGGTAGGAGCTCAGCAGAGCTGGGGAGGCAGCCAGCACTCCAGCCTCAGGGACCCAAATCCCCACAAAAGCCTCTTTGTTACGGCAGAGCCAGCATCCAGAGCTGGAAGTGCTGCTGCTCAGCGGAGAACAGCAGGCAGAAACAGCCCTTGCAACCCCCCCACCAGTCTGAGCTTTAACCCTCGTCGGATGGATGCTGGAACCGATGTTTGGGAGCGCAGCCCTAGGGTTCCTGGCCAGCTCCCAGAGGAGAAAGCTTGCTTTGGCAGGCTTCCCCACACATCCAGTTGGCTGGGCCTTTACTCCCTTCGGGACACAGAGGACTGCAGAACCCCCCAGCCCAGCTAGCCATAGGCAGCACTGAGACTACCACAGACTGTCTGCAACTAGTTAGCCTGGGAACAGCTTCACAGGAAGCTCTGGGGATGGGGGGAAGAAAGCAGATCATCCACCAGGATTATGCATTTTTTATGCTGTCAGAAGAGCTTAAGTCACGCAGGCCCCTCCTGCTCCTCCAGATGCTGGGGACAGCTTGAATTTCCAGGGACCATTCCCTCCCCCAGCTGGCACCGAGGAATGGAGACCGTGCTCTTCCCAGCCCAGAGGGATGTCTAAAGGACTCCTTCTCAGACAGGATTTGAAGCACGCAAGCGGTGCCTCCCAGGCATCCAAGGGGACCTCCTGCTTTCCAGCACCCCCAGGCCTTGCAGCCTCCCACCCAGGCTAGCGAGGAATCACAGCTTCCAAGGCAGGAGAGCACCGCCCAGCTCGAAGGGACTGGGGAGAGGCCAAGCGAGCGCTGCCGACTCAGCACTTGGCCAAGTTTGCTTCCAACCCTCTTCGGGGCTGGGTGTGCTCAAGGCATGGACAAGCCCAGGCAGCGGGAGCTGTGACAGGCTTCCTCCAGGAAGCAGTCCTTCCTGCCCCAGCCCCCCTTGCCACAGAGGCCTTTGTGCATCCAACACTGATTTCAGCTGAGCAAATCCCAGCCACAGAGAGGCAATGCTAATGGTGGCACATGCCACTGCCTGCGCTAGGACCTGGTCCAGGGTTGCGCTCTTTTGTGCAACAGGCACTTTGGGTTTCCCACCCAACTCCTCCTCGCTGTTGCTGGCTGTCGAGAGACAAAAGGCAGCCACCAGGCTGCAGGAGGCAGGCAGGACGGCAGGATCCTGCCGAGCCAGCTCAAGGCAGACCTCTAGGCCCAGCGCCAGACCAGCACTTCGGATGCCAACCCCGTTCACTCATCTCCAAGGGGCCTTTTCAGTATCAGGGACGAGCTTATCAGCCCAGTCGGGGAAAAGGCCGCCAAGAGGAGCCTGCCTTGGCCATGTGTTTTTTAGTTTTATTTCCAATTACTGCTTGGAAGCAAGGTTGTTTCCAGCTGGGGGCGGAGAAGGAGAAGTCAACAAGGGACCTGGGAAAGGATGGAATAGGCCCTAGCTGAGCTGCTGCAGCTCCACCGCTGCTGGCTGTTGCCTGCCAGATTAACCAAGCGGAAGCAGCTTCCCTGGCTGAAGGGGACCGAAACAAGACTGTGTTGCAGCTAATTGCTCTCGTGGTCCTGGGACAGCCCGGGAAGACCTGCTCTTCCCTTTCCCCTCTAAGAAACGTACTGAGTGGAGCAAGAAGGCAAACTAGAGCATGTCTGGGGGACAGGCACATGCACCTCCACAAGGAGAGCATCAGGGGCAAGCTCCCAGGGGCAGGGCAGGATGACCCAGAGATGCTCTGCGAAGGGATCATAGCAGCAGCCACTGCCTGTGCAGCTTGCTCCAGCCTTCTCTCCCCCACACCCCCCAGCCTCAGAGGCAGGATCGGGTCCAGGGAAATGCAGCGGCAGCCCACAGATTTGGTATTCCCAGCCATGCACCACTGAACAAAGGAGCCAGACCGAGCTCCCAGCCCCCTCCAGACGAGGATTTTTGGAGGTGGGACTTGAATACAGAACAGCCCCGGTGCTGGAGGCACCCCCCTCCCCTCAGAAACCCTGAAGGCAAGGCATCCCAATTGCACAGGCTCCCAGCCCCAGCACCGCACCCTGCAAAGCCACCGCAAGGGCCTCGCATCTGCTCACGGCCTTCCCTGCGGCTGGGACCAGGCCTCCCCACCCCCTCCGCTCCCCACATCTGGCTTTCCCATCTGAGCCACCGCAGCAGGAGGCACAAAGGCTGGAGCAGCAGCTCCCTGCAATCCCTCTTCTACAGGAGGGACAGTCCAGCTCACCCTCGCCCAGCCCCACGCCTGCACCAGCCTTTAGCATCTGCCCCAGCCACCCTGGCTGGTCAGTGGAGACGAGATGCAAGGGGGCAGTTCTCCCCTCCCCCAGCCATCCCTGGGGCTCTTGCACCCACCTTGGGGGACCAGCAAGGTGCAGATCAAGGCCCCCCTCTCACCTCTGCACCCAGCCCCACATGCCCCGCACTGGTCCCACAGCTCCAGCTGTGCAGCCCACTGCCAGCCTGGGGGTGCCTGGTGTGGGGAGGGCACTTAGAAAGGCCAGGCAGATGCATTCCTGGCTAGGGCAGGGCTTTGTGCATGGGGATGGGGGCAAGGGGCAGTCCAAGGCACCGCTCTGGGGGCTAGGGCCATGGTGAGGGGCAAAGCCATCCAGGGGGAGACAGGCTATGAGCATGGGGGAGGGGGACACGACACAGGGCTTTGGAGCAGTGCGTGGGGGGGGAAGGAAATCAGCTCCAGCTCCTCCACCAGGCAGCAGGGACTGGGCACCCAAATCTCCAGGGCAGGGCTCACCCACAGGCCTCCCTGCCCTCTCCTCCCCCAGGGGGGCTGGTTTAAACCCCCAGGCAGGGCTCACCCAGGGGCCTCCCTGCCCTCTCCCCCACAGCGGGGGCTCATTAAAACCCCTGGGCAGGGATCACCCAGGCCCCCTCCTTCCCCAAGTGGGTGGCTGTTTAAGCCACCCCAAGCACCTGGATCTCGTGGGCAGGGATCACCCAGGGCCAATCCTACCCTCTCCTTCCCCAGGCAGGGGTGGGTGTTTGGACCACCCCAGGCACCTGCATCTCTGGGGGGGGGCAGGGAGACCCCAGGGGGCTCGTTTAGACACCCCCAGGAAACCACCCCCGGGCAGGGAGCACCCTCTCCTCTCGCAGGGGAGTTGGTTGAACCCCAGGCAGGGCTTCCCTGCCGCAGGAAAGCGCCCCGTCCGTCCGTCCCTACCTTGGCGCG